AGGGAGGGAGGGAGGGAGGGAGGGAGGGTCTTCAATTCATCAGGATCTGTAGGTGGCACTTTCACAGGCCCTTGGAGGTTTCCAGGCCCTACAGCAGTGGCTATAACACTCAGTAGGTCAGGAACAGGGTGGCAGGAACTTTCCCACAGTCTTCTATAAAAGAGAGCTGATTATGTAAGATACCTTTTGCATCTGGGTTGGCAGAAAAAGTAGCAATCGGTGGCCGTCCTCGAACCTGGCCCTGTGGGGCAGCAGTGGCTGCATTGGCGGTTGCCATCCGAGGTGGATGTGTGCTGGGGAATGCCACGGTACGACCCTCGGGCTTCTGGCCATACTGCACAGGCTGAAATAACCTAGATGCCCATTGGCCCAAGCAGAAGACACAAACATCACCACATCGCAGACAGCATGGGTTCTAGAGGCCTGCCCCTCAGATACCAGCTGGGAAGGCAAGTTAAAGAGGCACAGAGCAGGAACAAGGTAGCTCCAAATAACAGTTGGCAAGAAGCTTGTGTCCAACATGTGGAACCACTGACAAACTGTACTCAAAGGTCAACATCTCAATCAGTAATATAAGAATACTGTTTAATCTCAACTATTAGGAATATGTCAAAGTATGTAAAGAGAAAAACACCTCTGGCATATAACATCTAACTACAGTTTAAAGCAACAGCAAAGAAAAATCAAATTCTCTACTAGTACATGTGACAAGACAGCTTATGAAATGGACAGAAATAACAGGAGCTGGAAAGGTACCCAAAGTGCCCAACTAAGCAGCTGATTCTAGTTTGATCATAGAGGTAAGAGTTCTCTGACCTAGAAAATGGAAGGACAAACAAGAAGCCAGTCATAAAAACCTTTTAACAAAGCCCAGGTAAGTACAAGTAGAAGGCCTTGTCTGTAATGGCTATAGGCTTCCTATATGGGTCTGTCAGGCTTGAGCTGAGCTGCTAAGGATGGCAAGCAGATCACTGTCCCAAGGAAGTCTGATAATAAACTTGAAAATGTGTTTCTGATCTGTACAAATATCCTCTTTATTTCTAAAATAATAAATATTTTCTTGTTTTCCTTTTTCACCCAGGCACAGGATTTTACTTCCTTTTCACCACTGGGTTTGGTCTGTTCAGAAGCATTTACATCCTGATTTCATCACTTATCTCTCCCTGCCTCATGATCTCTCTCACTCCAAATCATCATTTATATTGTAGTATCACTTGTAAGAGTAGACCCCATGTCTGCCCTTGTTCTGGCCCATAAACATACTCTATACTCTTCCCAATCAGTCGTCTGACCTTGCCATGACAGATACTGACTAGTCAGACAGCAGACTGCTCTCAGCCCTATCATTTCCCCAAACCCTAAAGTTTACTCTATTAAATATAACCAAGAGAAGTGACTCTCAGGATTTACTGCCTCTATTTGAGTATCTTGTTAATGTAGTTGTGTTCACTGAAACCAGGGACATATGAGACATTCTCAAGAGCACAGCTTTTCTCATCACCACTGACTAAGGTAAGCTAGAGGAAGGAATTGTTTATGGTCCAGGCACTTGATCTTTCAACAAGCAGAACATCCTTGGAATAGTGAACATGCCAGATGAACCACATGCTGCTTCTAACCCATCCACGTACCTGCTAGCCTTGAGCTTCATGGCTGCTGGCCGGGCTGTCGGAGGTGGTGAAGCAAAGACTTCCTCCATGAGTTTTCGAGTCACCTTTTTCTTACACAGTAATTCAGCCTCATAGCGAGCAATTTTATTTTCTAGCCCAATGAGATCAAATATAGAAAGATCGGTTTCCTAAGAAGAAATGAAAAAAAAAAAAGAAACATTTTGTAATAGGTGGCAGATGAAAATATCTGACCAAGAGTCAAGACCTGTTACAAGGTAAAAGTCAGTTGAGGAAGCTATTTCACATGGTAGGCCAAGCTGTCTCATGCTTGGGCTAGGTAAGATCACATCTCCTCAGAGGGCCAGATTTCCTTTTAATAATGGGACAACAGCTGTTTTCTCTTTCCCCAGTGTCATGTGAACAAAGATATTGAGAGACAACCTGGAACTGCAGAGGAACATATACAACCAATCAGAACCTGAATAGTTTGGAGACAAACAGCAGTCCTCCCCAGGAAAGAGGAGAGGGCAAGCGTGGGCTCCATTTGCTGATCAGTGTGTGGGAGCAACTCCTGTAAGGCTTACTGTAAAGACTCAGTGCTAGACAGAGTGGAACCAATCAGATTGAAGTGGGAGTTCCCTCTGTATGCTGTGATTACATTAATGAATAAAGAAACTGCTTGGGACCTATAGCAGTGCAGAACTTAGCTAGGCAGGGAAAACTAAACTGAAGGCTGGGAGGAAGAAGGCAGAGAGAGGGAGAAGCCATGTAGCCCCACCAGAGACAGACGCCAAAACTTTACCCAGTAAACCACAGCCCCATGGTGATACACAGATTAATAGAAAGGGCTAAATTAATATGTAAGAGTTAGCCAATAAGGGCTGGAGAGATGGCTCAGAGGTTAGGAGCATTGCCTGCTCTTCCAAAGGTCCTGAGTTCAATTCCCAGCAACCACATGGTGGCTCACAACCATCAGTAATGAGGTCTGGTGCCCTCTTCTGGTCTGCAGACATACACACAGACAGAATATTGTACACATAATAAATAAAATAAATATATAAAAAAAGAAAAAAAATCATTAAAAAAAGTTAGCCAATAAGAAGCCAACCAGTGATTTAAATAATATAGTTTCTGTGTGATTATTTTGGGGTTGAGCAGCCAAGAACTAACAAGTGGTCCCCCCACAACAAATTGGAACGCCAATGTGGGTAACTACATCCACATAAAAACCTGAGAAAACCTGGAAAGGAATTCTAGACACTAAAAAACAAAGTTTAGCCACATTTATTTTCCCAAAAGGGCTTTGCTTGTTGGTGGCATGCTGTGGCTCCTTTAAGAGAGGTTTTCCTGATTCAGTGGTAGCAGAAAAAAGCCGCGCCATTATGAAATGCAGGCTTTCTGGGCTGTGCTGCCAGCATGACCTCTGGCTCTTTCAGAGGCCAAGCATTTAAATGGGGTTTGTGAGCAGAGTACTACAACTTGCTTGATGGCAACACAGACTGGCTGTGTGCCTAAAAATGGGGCTGTGAGCATGGCTCTCAGAGGTAGCAAACAGCTCCACCATGCTGGGCTGGGTGGAGTAAACAGACAGTGCCATAATTCCCCTAGCAATGGTGCCGCTTACGTTCATAAGAAGGGTTTAGCATTTTAAGAAACACTTCTGGTAAGAAAGTAATTACAGATACACAATAAAGACAAATTCAGATGAAAAAGACCTCTAAATTAGAAACAGTGTGTTTTAAAAATGTACATAAGCCTGGGAGAGAGAAGAAAAAGAGTATAGAGAGTTATAAAAAGAAGTAAATGGTTGGTTGGGCTGGAGAGATGACTCAGAGGTTAAGAGTACTGGCTGATCTTCTGGAGGTCCTGAGTTCAATTCCCAGCAACCACATGGTGGCTCACAACCATCTGTAATGAGATCTGGTGCCCTCTTCTGGCCTGCAGGCATACAAGGAGGCTGAACACTGTGTACGCAATAAATAAATAAATCTCTAAAAAAAAAAAGTAAATGGTTTATAAAAAAATATAAAAAAGCCTTTAAAGAGACAGTACAGTCATAGATTAAAGGAGTAAAGATAATAAAATAAATATTAAACTTGCAGAAAAAGTAATAGAGTAATAAAAATAAGTCACGTAAAGATGGGATGTACATAGAAGGTCTGGATTATGTATATTATTGTGTTTTCTCTGAATTTTTGACTGTGAAGGAGCTAAGTAATCAAAGTATATACTTTAAAGGTCTCTTGTCTTCAAAATTTGGGTCCAACCAGCAATACCACTCTTGGGAATATACCCAAGAGAGGCCTTATCATACAACAAAAGTATATGCTCTACTATGTTCATAGCAGCATTGTTTGTAATAGCCAGAACCTGGAAACAACCTAGATGCCCTTCAATTGAAGAATGGATGAAGAAAGTATAGAATATATACATATTAGAGTACTACTCAGCAGTAAATAACAAGGACTTCTTGAAGTTTGCATACAAATGGATGGAAATAGAAAACACTATTCTGAGTGAGGTAAGCCAGACCCAAAAAGAGGAACATTGGATGTACTCACTCATATTTGGTTTCTAGCCATAAATAAAGGACATTGAGCCTATAATTCGGGTTCTTAGAGAAGCTAAATAAGGAGAACCCAAAGAAAAACATATAGGCATCCTCCTGAA